CACTTGCTTCATCAATCTCAGAAACCCCAACATTCCTCTGCACACTTCCACAGATTCCCCCAAATCCAGTGTCTGAGTCAAACCCAGTACTGTCCCTGGCCAAATGCAGAGACAAATCTAAGCTACCAGCCACTTCACCTTGAAGACAAACCCAGCAGGTGATGGTTCACCATAAATAGCCCCCCAGAGAGGGCCCAGTGAAGCTTCCAAGCCAGCGATTAACAGATGCAACGGGTGTGATAAACAGACCATTTATCATTTTCAGGTCTGCTCCCCTTACTCTTCAGCTGACTCTTCAAATGCTATAAATTATGGAGAAACAATACTATACAAACCAAGCTTAATAACTATCCGATTTCCCTGAACATGACACTGAGAGGATACTACCAGCCTCTTTGGGGGGGTGCAGTTTGGGAAGGAGAACCATTTGCCATTAAGCAAGGGCAGGGCAGTCAGGCTGGGCAGCATCCGTTGTGTCTTCCTACCTGGTTTTATGTATCTACATTGTAAGTTTGGAGGGAAACCATTGGGGGAGGTTATAGATTCTGGTCAAACAAAACAGGTGCCCTGACACATACATTTTCACTGTTCCTGAAAGGCTCATAATTTAAAAAAATGAATCCAAGAGGGTTTACTGTAAATGACACACCGGGAGAGAGAAATTAACAGGATGCCTTTTTTACAGTCTGCAGTAACTACATAAAGAAAGGCTAATGGTCGCTCCGTTCTCCCCACCCTTCTGTTCTGTGAGTGGTGAAGGGAGGCTGCCCAGAGTTTCAAGGCAGCGATAGCTGGCCCTCCGTGGCAGTCCTTTCCCTGGTCTTCAGCTCTTTCCCTCTCGTAGAAATGCAGGAGAGTGTGACAGGACAGCAGCCGCATAGTCTCCGTGGGACTCGGGGAGCAGATGTCAGCGGCGGGCAATAGCAGGCGCTCTCCAAATGCTGACCAGGTTAGTTTCTCAACAGTAGGTTTCAGTGGCGGAAACCTATAGTTGAAGTACTAATTTTTAAAACTCCCTCTGCCTTAAGGTACCCTGCCCCCACAGAATTTCATTTCATGCACACGTATTTCAACAAATATCTCTTTGCCTCTGTCAAACATGTTTTATCTGTGATTTCATTAACATCATCGCTACTCAATTTTGTCTCGCTCCCTCTCCACCACCCTTCCACACCAATTATTTACCTTAGGGCAAGAATGCCTTCATTCTACCCAGGCTTTCTCCATGTATTCCTGTCATTCCCCAAAATATCGTATGTCCCCAAATTAGTCATGTTCATTTCTCTTTCTTTTTCCCTACCTCTCCAAAGACTCAAATTCTGTTAGAGCCGGAGACCTCACCCTGGCGTGAGAAGGATCATATAAAAAAATTGACTACCTGAACCAATCAGTCATGATTCGAGGGCCTCCAGTGGAATATGGGCTTAACAAGTTATCTATTTTCCTAAAGAGGCTTTAATGTGTGGGGATTTCAGGATGAAAAGGAAAAGAAATGAGCAAGTTCAAGTATGAAAGGGAAGCTAGTGTGTAGCCCAGAGCAAGTATAACCAATGGGCAGCGTATGTCTATCCACAAAGTCCCATTTCTGCACAGGTGGCCGCTGTGGCCCGTGGAAGCCAGAACTCCAACCTGCTGGATCTGCCTGCTGCCCTCACAAACCTTTCCAGTGTAAAGCAGGAGGTGAGAGAGTGAGGCACTGAGAGTGAGGCACTGCCAGGCAAGGTGACGCCTGTTTGCCATTCCTGCTCGGGGGGCCTCCAGGGCAGGCAGGTCTCATCAGGAATGGGTGCTCAGCTCAGGGTCAGGCTCCCTGGTGTCCCTGGAACAGCATTTTCTCTTCCTTCAAATGAGCTAACTTGGGCGTAACCGGGACTTATTCCACTGACACTGCTACTCAAAACACTTCAGGAATTCCTAGGAACTGCCTTCACAAACCACCAACTCTCAGATTTTCCCTACTCTCTCACACACACACAAACTTGCTAATTTCAGAGTTAATATTTTGTTTTTGAGCAACTTATTGGCTTGACAACCAACCAGAAGTCACATGACAGTGCTCTTGGTTGTTTTCACCCCTGAGACCCACGCTGGTCGAATGCAGCTTGGCCCACATGTGCCCCTTGCTGCACACGTCTGTAGGCAGTTTGTGCTCCCTTCCCTGGGCCCACTGCCTTCTTTTCTCCCTGTTCCCCGGGTTTGCCCTGCTTTCATCTCCTCTTCATGCGGGCCATTCCTTTTTCTTTGTTTTCCCCAGTGGATTTCTCTTCTCCTAGGAGAACTGCAAGGGGGAATGAAATCTTTCACCTCCTGCCCAACCCTTTCTGCTTTCATTAACAGCCTTTAAATTCTTTCCTTTGGAGTAATTGTCTTTACTGCAAGGGAACAAACTGCGTTTGATAAACAAATCCACGTTTTACAGATTGTAAAAGCAATATAAAAGTATCTTGGTATGTATTTATGGCTTCACCTTCCTGATGTATCTATATAAATGTCCAAAACAAGAGTTTGGTTTTGTAGTCAAGTCTTGCTCTTCCAGCTGGATCCCTTAACTCCTGAGGGTGGTCAGGAACTCTCTCTTTGCCCTCCCACTCTGGACTCAGTGTCTCTCACAGGTTCTTTACATCTTCATGAGGAAGTTTGCAGCCTAAGGCAGAGGTCACCAAAGTAGAATCTGCAGCCTGTTTCTTACAACTATTCATTGGAATACAGTCCCACACAGTTTTTATGATCCATTAGGTTATTAAAAATTGATTAAAACTTACTAGACTAATGAAACGGCCCCATGCTCGAGGTGGCCATGAACATTTCAGGTTCATTCCAAAGCAATGCAAGTTCTCCACATCACAGGGTCTTTTCTCTAAAAAACACCAGATGAATACTTTTCTGCCCTAAGCTCTGAAGGACAACTGTTTGGATTTTCTAAAATGTTTAGGCAATGAGAGCATCACTGGGATAAGTCCACAGTACCCAAGGGGGTACTTATTATACATTTTGAAGTAAAATTTCTTGTATATTTGCTTTTAAAATGTTAAAATGGAATGTATGGCTCCTCCTGGAAGTTCCCAGGATCCTCACATCCATTTTATAAAACCAGCACCCATTGCAAATCAACTGTCAGAAAATGAGAAAGCATTTCTCTTAAAAGCAGAGATGCTCTACAAAACACGAATGGGAGAAATGGACAGGCTGGTAGCCCATTACCTCTCCCCAAAAAGATGCTCATGGCTGCGCCAAATCATATATTTCTTACTAAGTCACACTGAACGAGAAAGGATGATAAATGACCAGGAAAGAGTGACTGAGCTGGTAATAATCGCCTGGTTATAGCTGCCATGAAATAGTCATTAAGTTATACGCAGCATAAATCTCACCGAGTTTTGTAAATTATGGTGGTTCTTACAGGCCAAATAAAGATAAACCCTACTAACGATGGCTGTCGTCCTCTGTGCTCCTTGGCATGGCTTTTTAAGATGCTTAAGCTCAGGCTCATTGCACCACATGGCGCCTGAATCATCTGAGAAAGCACCCAAGGTGCGCAACTCTATTCCAGACCCCTCTTCCACATTTCGAGGGTGAGGTGATCATTCTAACCGGCCCTTCCCTGAACTCCTAAACGGAGTCGTGCCTTGTTCTGGCTCACAGAGACCAGCCAGGAGTCCAGCTCCAGTCTCACACCTCATGCTGCTCCTAATTGGAAGAGCAGGGCCTGGGGATGGGCACCGCCCCAAGGGCTGAGCTTGCTGCGGGGTGGTGTCAGCCAGGCGGCCACCTCCACCGGGGAGACCAACAAAACCCCGCCCCCCACTGGCCCTGGCGGACCAGCGCATTAGCGAAACTCGCACGCGAAGATCCCCAGTAAATGTTTCTCTTCCTCCTTTTTGGAGGTCGGTGGCAATCCCCAGTTGATCTTTCCTCTTAACTGCTTTTTTCCCCCTGCTATTTAAACTGAATTCTTATTGCTCCAAATTAAATCCATTCTTTCTAGCCTTGTCGCTGCTAACTAATGAGAACAATTCCTCTCTTTGCTCCTGGTGGCTGCACTCTGGGTACTTACGGATGAGAATCATATCCTCTGTTAGCCTACTTTCTTAAGTGCACACTGCACAGGTGATAAAATGGGTTAATTGTTGCTATAAAAATATTTTCCATCCTCATAACGAAGTAATTTTTCCTCCAAATCATTTTAATTTCTTAGAATTGCTCTGTGTTCTTAATGATCTGCAATGGCTGGGGGTGCCGTCCGACTGGGCTTATATACACACGCAGAATGTTGAATGTACTATACACATGCACACACCCATCATGCGTGTGGTCATTGAGCTGTTTTCTTTCGGTCCCACCCACCCTGGCCTCAGGGTTGATCACATGCTCTTCACATCTCTATGAGGCAGTTCTCAGCCTAGAGCAGGGTCACCGAAGTACAGCCAGCTGCCTGTTTTCATAAATACAGTTTTTATTGGAATACAGTCACACACCCTTTTAAAAAATATATTGCCTATAGCTGCTTTGCCATCAGCACGGCAGAGCTGAGTAGCTCAGACAGAGATGGTATGAGGCCCAAAGACCAAAATATTTACTATCTGGCCTTTAAAAAAAAACTCCGCTGACCCCCAGCCTAGAGATCCTGAACATTCAAGTTGGCTTTGCTGCTTATACCAGGTTAAGAAGAACCGCACCAGGTAAATCTGATTTACACCCAAGCCGTCTGCTAAGAAGTTTCCTGAACAGGCCAAACCACACAGGTAGGGAGGGAGCGTGAAGGGGAAGGGGTTGAATGTTTTATCCCTGCAGCATCCTCAGGCATCATGGCCCACATGGAAGGGGAGCATGAGGCTAAACACACAGACGGCCCTTGGTCAGGGCCCCAACACACGTCGGCGGTTTGTATCAGCGCACGGCCCCTCTGCCGTGTCTGTCTAGAATGTTCTGCTCCATTTCTCTGGCTCCCCAACTCAGACCCCAGGAGGACAAGAGAAGGGAGGTGGAGGCCCGGCACTCACTATGTGAAGCTGGAGGAAGTCACCGAGGCCCGGGGCGCTGTCGATGCGAACCAGGATGCCATCCTTCACGGTGGTGCTGAAGCCCACGGCCAGGCGGTCCGAGCGCGTGCTGGGCCTGTCGTTGGCCGGCCAGGTGTAGAGGATGAGGCCTCCGCTCTTCCCAAAGATGTAGGTGGCGCCAGCTGCAAAAGCAAGGAGAGGGAGCCGTCAGGCCGCGACGAGCTTGCCGGCCGGAGGCACTGTGGACGCCCGCAGACAGCCGGGGGGGATCGCCCCACATGACAGCATCTGGTGACCGAGAGGCAGGGCGTGCAAAGCCTCCAAAGGCGGCTGTCACCCCAAATTAAAGAAGCGGGCAAAATGAATGAAAAACAAATCAGATGTCAGCGAGTGACGCTGCGAACATGTCCAGCCCCTGCTGCCTCGTGGCAGAGGGCAATCGACAGGATGCGTCTGAGAGCTGTGGGACCTGTGACAGACAGCTTTTCCGTCTACCAGGAGCAGGAGTAATCTTCCATCTCTGCCAGGACAGACACCAGATAGAAAGTGAGTTCCCCCATCTCTTAGGGATCAGGATATTCCTGTGAGTGGAGCCAGGAGCAGGTCCAGAGGCACCTCTGAAAGCTGAAGGTAACCTGGAGTGTCCAAAGCCATCACTCCCTTCGCATCTGGACCTCCACCACCCCACAGAGAGGAAAGCTGCGGCCTCAGGAAGCCGACTTAGGTGACTAAAAGAATTCGCCTATTTCACTATAATGTTGCCATAAAAAAGATAAAAATTAATTCCAGAGGCCTTTAGGAAATTAATTTTATTTTCCCCCAGCAGCGGTGTTTATCTGGTATAACTAAATTAAGAAGATATAGGAGACAGAAAAAAAAAAAATCTCAGTATAATGACAAGTGGTGTGGTCAATTATGACTAGTGGGTTTATCAGTGTTTTTACTATTATTACTTGTTTTTTGTACTATTATTAGTTACAAACCCAGGGGTTTATAAGAAGATATTAATTTAAAAATATTTAGCAAGCAGGGATAAAAATAAAGAAAACATTTGCATCTCATAAATTGAAAACATCTGTTTTTATACAACAAGTTTTTAAATCTGAATTTGGGGGAAAGCATTTACATTTGGTAGCCAGAAGAGACCCCAAGACTGCGGTGTCTGTGCCTGAATGTATATCACCCAGAGCGAGTACTTCCATATGTTACTTATCTCCAAGTTCAAAGACCATTTGGCACCAGATTGTCTTGTAGGTTTCTCACTGAACACGGCCCAACCCTTGAAACTATTATTAAAGCAACATTAGACAAGCATTCAGATATCTTTAGCATTCACTAAAAATCTCAAGCCCTGGTCCACACTGAATTTACAGAGAATATTGGGTTGAATGATGGTGTTTGAAGAAAAAATGAGTGATGCAGCTCATTTTTAAATAATAAAGTAAACTGCTATGAGGCTAGAAATTGGAGAATATGTCACGTGTCATCATTTTTTAAGCACTAAGCCACATTATATTCTGAGGCAAATAAATAAAATTTAATTTATCCGTTTGGAAAGGTCACTATTCCGGCTGCTCCAATATGCTCAGTTTGTANTAAAATTTAATTTATCCGTTTGGAAAGGTCACTATTCCGGCTGCTCCAATATGCTCAGTTTGTATATTACACATAACATAACATTACTTTCGTTTAATGAATCTCTCAATCCTTAGCAGACGGGGTCTGAAAAGCCCTCCAGTCATTTGGAGAATTTGGGATTGTGATATGGAAAGTTTATGGTTAATTCTACATGCAAAATAATGTTTGCTTCTCACTGTCCACAAACACGCTCAAAGCTTCTTAAAATGAAAACTATGTATATAATTATTTTCCCTGATATCGCGCCATCTGTGAAGAATTTAAATCATTCCCTTTCTGTGGATGATTACAAATGTCAGCAGCGCTACCTTTAATCTTTATTTGGAAAACTGAAGGTTACTCAGTGATGAATGTATAGAATCACCAAAAATGCAAATCAGCCTGTGACATTTCGTGGCAAGTTATAAAACTGTAGCCTCTTCTATCCTAAATATATAGTGGATTCTGCTACAGAGATAAATCCATGCTCTACCAGGAAATAATTTCATCACTTCGAGAAGAGCAAGTTGAAAGTTGCTAACAGCGACAGATACGCACAGTGCTTTACAGTTTGCAACACCTTTTCAAATGCACAAGCTGGATCTTCCCAACTGTTTTATGGGCTATCTCATTTGCTAATCGGCGCCCCCTTTAAGTCTCCTGTTTAACCTTCCTGCCTTCAAAAGCCTGTCTTCACCATATGCCAATCATAGCTTAATACAGTAAACTATACCAATGGGGCGGATCTGACTGCGCTTCATTATTTTCATATATTCTCCTGAGTCTAAAATGGAACAAAAAAGAAGCCACAGCCCCCAAACCTGGCATGTTTTCAAAAGCTACTCTGGTCTCATTAAACAAATAACTACAATCTTGCTACCCTACCTGTATTACTCACCCTCTGCCCTGTGCAGTAATTCTCAATATAAAGAGGAAGAGCATTTTAAAAGATAAATATACAACCCCTTACATATAGTGGTTAGGAGGTCACCGTGGCTTCAATTTTTAAACAAACATAGAACAAAACCCCACGATGACAGTATTAGGCTAAGTAGATATAAAATGCGATTTAAAATTATTTGTGTTCCTTCTGCCATTCTGAATTTGGGATGTCACTATGTTCGATAATTCTAACTTTGCAGGTGAAAAGGGCATGAGATATACAAAGTGGTTAGCATATGGCTTATTCTGCTATGTAGAAATAAACATTAAAAAATGTATTCTTAGTAGTGAATTGCTAGTAAGAGGGATAAAGGCCCTGAATGCTCCCATAGTCCAATGTTGGCTTTAGAGAGAGTTCATAGTTACAACTTTCTCTCTGACAACCTGTTTTGTTATTTTTTCTCCTCAGTTAGCTTGCTATCTTGAATGGTTTTTAAAGATGAATACAAGCTTTCATTTAATTTTAATATAAAATGCCTACAGTCCCAGGGGGAACATGGAATTATTTTGGTTTACATTTTCAAATTGAAAAGTTAATTTTGTTACTTTTAAATGTGGATTGCAAATCAACTTTTTGGGAACATCCCAGGAACTGTAAGAACCCTCCGAAATCCATTCAAGATTTTCATTTCCAAGCCATGCAATACCACATCACATGTGTTCTCCGCTGAGCCCAGGAGTTCTGATTGCTGGTTTCTCACTGTGCTTAGTATGCTGGTGCTAAAATCATTATTAATAATCTGAACCATGTACATTTCCTGCTTTTACAGAAAGTGATCATTCAGCTGGAAGAAAAAATTACTATGCTTGCATTTTGGCCATTTAACATGGCAGGATTTTCCAGTTTGCAGGCAGCTGAGGTTGCTTTCCTGAATTCCAACCAGCACTATTTCAGAAATGAAATCTCCACATCGTCACCAGTCACCAAGATAAAGCCGACACACTCCATCTTCAAACAGTAAACAAGTGTGACACGTTATTTAACACATAGCTTCTTTTGTCTCAACAGCTCCAAAAGAAGAGCCTGACTTATTGCTTTCATAACTGGCTAGCTTTTTAATGGGATGGAGCTGATGGTGATTTTGGCAGAGCTGGATGGGAAGTTATATTTATGTTTTGGTGTGTGTTCTGTGTGTGGATTTGAAGGGGAAGAAAAGGGTAAAACAGCCCTCACTGAAATTGTGGACGAGTCTTGGGGACCAGTTTCATGTACTTATGCAATAAGCTGATTAAGTAGATGACCTATGATGTCTCAAGAAGAATGAAGGATAACATTTTTTTCCAGTTCATGCAAATATAATAAATATTCTTAAATTTCTGGAGTATATTACTGCGTATTTTACTAGAATCCAATTTAATTGTTGATGGCAACTCAACTTTTCCTTACTTAGAACCTCTTGGATAACTATTGTTTTTGTTGTTTTGATTTATAAATCTCATGGCCCTCTCATTATGGCATTGTTTCTATTTCTATTGCCACATATAAATGTCATTGTACCTTTGGGGACATTAATAGTAAGAATAGAATCATGGTCCTGTTTAAGATTTACATTAGAAAAGAAAATAACCTATACATACATATGTGTATACATATAAATATGTGTGTATTAAAAAAATAAAGTTAGAAAATATAGCACACTACCTGAAATCAATTTATTATTTTCCCCACCAAATATTTACAGATAAAATGGCTCCAGAGAAGCATTTAAATATAATATTGTTTGTGTGTTTATTTTCTGTTCAAAAAAAGAAAACCTAAAGCAAATCAGCTTTCCCTGAAATAGTTTTTGGTTGGTGTTAAAATGAAACAAGTCGGAAGAATCTACCAGGGGAAGCCTTAGAGTGTGGAATTTAAAGAGAACTGGCTCATTTATTCAGGGGCAAATGTCACAGGTAGAATAAATTAAGTAATAAAATAAGTATAAGTCTTAGTGTGCACACCACCTGGTAGGTAAGCTAGGATAAGAAACAGGATGTCCAACTCCTACTCCAGGGCTACTGGAACATTGCCTAAGACTTAGAAGAAAATCTCGTGACACTAAGGTGTATGTCTGTCTTCTCTGTTATTTCAGGTTCCTGTTCCTTATTTCTATTTTATTACTCTTTCACCAGCCTTATCCCTTTTGTGTTCTTTATTTTAAATTGGTCAGTCCTTTTGAAAAATAAGTGGACTATCATGACAAAAGTTACTATGTCGGTAAACGTAGTTATTGCTGTTAAAACTATCTTTTATTTGTATCAATGACTATATAGGTAATAAAACCAAAATGGAAAGACTCTCAAACTAACAAATATTTTTTCTAGCAAACGGAGGCATAAAGCTCAAGGATCTCGTAATAATTAATGGCCTAACAAGTATTATGCAAAGTGAAATAAGCCAGTCAGAGAAAGACAAGTATCACATGATCTCACTCATATGTGGGATCTACTGAACAAAATAAAGTGTGAAACAAAATAGATCCAGAGACTCAGAAGCATGGAGCAGACTGTGGAATCTCAGAGGGAAGGCGGGGGTAAGTGGGTGGGTGGGGAGAGATTAACCACAGAACTGATATGCATAAATGCATAACCCATGGACAGACGGTAGTGTGGAGAAGGCCTGGTTGGGGGGAACAGGAGGTGG